TGACTATAGTACTCCATCAGCATGACGTCAAGGCTGCCTGCCCTGTCCCAGGAATATACAGATTAGTGCCTATAGTACTCCATCAGTATGACGTCAAGGCTGCCTGCCCTGTCCCAGGAATATACAGATTAGTGGCTATAGTACACCATCAGCATGACGTCAAAGCTCCATACAGATTAGTGACTATAGTACATCATCAGCATGGCGTCAAGGCTGCCTGCTCTGTCCCCGGAACATACAGATTAGTGGCTATAGCACACCATCAGCATGACGTCAAGGCTACGTGCCCTGTCCCAGGAATATACAGATTAGTGACTATAGTACTCCATCAGCATGACGTCAAGGCTGCCCCCTGTCCCAGGAACATACAGATTAGTGACTATAGTACTCCATCAGCATGACGTCAAGGCTGCCCCCTGTCCCAGGAACATACAGATTAGTGACTATAGTACTCCATCAGCATGACGTCAAGGCTGCCCCCTGTCCCAGGAATATACAGATTAGTGACTATAGTACACCATCAGTATGACGTCAAGGCTGCCCCCTGTCCCAGGAACATACAGATTAGTGACTATAGTACTGCATCAGCATGACGTCAAGGCTGCCTGCCCTGTCCCAGGAATATACAGATTACTGGCTATAGTACTCCATCAGTATGACGTCAAGGCTGCCTGCCCTGTCCCAGGAATATACAGATTAGTGGCTATAGTACACCATCAGCATAACGTCAAGGCTGCCTGCCCTGTCCCAGGAATATACAGATTAGTGACTATAGTACACCATCAGTATGACGTCAAGGCTGCCCCCTGTCCCAGGAACATACAGATTAGTGACTATAGTACTCCATCAGCATGACGTCAAGGCTGCCTACCCTGTCCCAGGAATATACAGATTAGTGGCTATAGTACTCCATCAGTATGACGTCAAGGCTGCCTGCCCTGTCCCAGGAATATACAGATTAGTGGCTATAGTACACCATCAGCATAACGTCAAGGCTGCCCCCTGTCCCAGGAATATACAGATTAGTGACTATAGTACACCATCAGTATGACGTCAAGGCTGCCCCCTGTCCCAGGAACATACAGATTAGTGACTATAGTACTCCATCAGCATGACGTCAAGGCTGCCTGCCCTGTCCCAGGAATATACAGATTAGTGCCTATAGTACTCCATCAGTATGACGTCAAGGCTGCCTGCCCTGTCCCAGGAATATACAGATTAGTGGCTATAGTACACCATCAGCATAACGTCAAGGCTGCCTGCCCTGTCCCAGGAATATACAGATTAGTGACTATAGTACACCATCAGCATGACGTCAAGGCTACGTGCCCTGTCCCAGGAATATACAGATTAGTGGCTATAGTACATCCTCAGTATGACGTCAAGGCAGCCTGTCCTGTCCCAGGAATATACAGATTAGTGGCTATAGTACACCATCAGCTTGACGTCAAAGCTCCATACAGATTAGTGACTATAGTACATCATCAGTATGACGTCAAGGCTACGTGGCCTGTCCCAGGAACATATAGATTAGTGACTATAGTACACCATCAGTATGACGTCAAGGCAGCCTGTCCTGTCCAAGGAACATACAGATTAGTGGCTATAGCACACCATCAGCATGACGTCAAAGCTCCATACAGATTAGTGACTATAGTACATCATCAGTATGACGTCAAGGCTACGTGCCCTGTCCCAGGAACATATAGATTAGTGACTATAGTACACCATCAGTATGACGTCAAGGCAGCCCCCTGTCCCAGGAACATACAGATTAGTAACTATAGTACACCGTCAGCATGACGTCAAGGCTGCCTACCCTGTCCAAGGAACATACAGATTAGTGGCTATAGTACACCATCAGCATGACGTCAAGGCTACGTGCCCTGTCCCAGGAACATATAGATTAGTGACTATAGTACATCATCAGTATGACGTCAAGGCTGCCTACCCTGTCCAAGGAACATACAGATTAGTGGCTATAGTACACCATCAGCATGACGTCAAAGCTCCATACAGATTAGTGACTATAGTACATCATCAGTATGACGTCGAGGCTACGTGCCCTGTCCCAGGAACATATAGATTAGTGACTATAGTACACCATCAGTATGACGTCAAGGCTGCCGGCCCTGTCCAAGGAACATACAGATTAGTGGCTATAGTACACCATCAGCATGACGTCAAAGCTCCATACAGATTAGTGACTATAGTACACCATCAGCATGACGTCAATGCTGCCCCCTGTCCCAGGAATATACAGATTAGTGACTATAGTACACCATCAGCATGACGTCAAGGCTGCCTACCCTGTCCAAGGAACATACAGATTAGTGGCTATAGTACACCATCAGCATGACGTCAATGCTGCCTACCCTGTCCCAGGAACATACAGATTAGTGACTATAGTACATCATCAGCATGACGTCAATGCTGCCTACCCTGTCCCAGGAACATACAGATTAGTGACTATAGTACACCATCAGTATGACGTCAAGGCTGCCTGCCCTTCCGAGGAACATACAGATTAGTGACTATAGTACACCGTCAGCATGACGTCAAGGCTGCCCCCTGTCCCAGGAACATACAGATTAGTGACTATAGTACATCATCAGTATGACGTCAAGGCTGCCTGCCCTGTCCCAGGAACATACAGATTAGTGGCTATAGTACACCATCAGCATGACGTCAAAGCTCCATACAGATTAGTGACTATAGTACATCATCAGTATGACGTCAAGGCTACGTGCCCTGTCCCAGGAACATATAGATTAGTGACTATAGTACTCCATCAGTATGACGTCAAGGCTGCCGGCCCTGTCTCTGGTACATGTACATTCCAATCCTGTTATTAATAGCATAGCAATTGCAAATACTACGAAGCAAATGATATGGAAGTTTGGCGACCAGTCTGCCTTTTTCCAACATCATTGAAACATCTGCCATAAAAACACAAATTTACATATGTTTTTCGAATTCAGCTTTGAAACGCATCTCGTTGGCCATCGATTCACGATGTTCAATTTGGTGTAAATTTCGTTAACCAGAACATTTTGCCTTCAGAACCTATTGTAAAATCTACATTCATACAACATTATTATTTCATATTCATAATTTATTAACTTCGGAAACATATTGATCCAAATGATTTCGACGAGAGCAGTACCGTCGGGATTTAAATGTTTGTCATGTCATTCCAAAGCAATGAACACAAGTGATTCAGTATAGGACTGGGATGAGTCCATATTTACTACCCGGGTACTAGACACCCTATTACCCGGCCCTACCCGGATACCCGCTATAGGTCTCAAGAGTTTGTACCATGTCCGAATGGGAATTGTTTTGCAGAGTTGCGTCCCTTGGGCACGCCAGAAACCTATGATTTTGGGTTCGAATCCCGGTTCGCTCCGATTATGTTTCTAGGTGTGTCAGTACCATACCCGTTGTTGTGGGTTTCGCCGAAGTGGTAAAATGTCTGAGACCTGCATCACTTCGGGCTTTCCTCCCACATTAAGCTGACACGCCGCGATATAACTGGAATACTGTTAAAAGCGGCGTTAAACCAAACTCACTCACTCCCCTACTCAGGACCCACCCGACCCGAGTACCCGAGTTACCCGTCCCAGCCCTAAATTCAGTACACTGTTTACAGAGGGAGTTTCTGTTATGAAAAAAACTAACCTGCTTCACAATATACCGTACACTGTTTATAGAGGAAGTTTCTGTTAAGAAAAACCTGACCTGCTTCACAATGTACAGTACACTGTTTAGAGAGGGAGTTTCTGTTATGAAAAAACTGACCTGCTTCACAATATACCGTACACTGTTTAGAGAGGGAGTTTCTGTTATGAAAAACCTGACCTGCTTCTCAATATGCCGTACACTGTTTACAGAGGGAGTTTCTGTTATGAAAAAAACTGACCTGCTTCACAATGTGCCGTACACTGTTTACAGAGGGAGTTTCTGTTATGAAAAACCTGAAATGCTTCACAATATACCGTACACTGTTTACAGAGGGAGTTTCTGTTATGAAAAACCTGACCTGCTTCACAATGTGCCGTCCTGCTTAACCTCAAAATTTTCATCAGTGTCACCTTCTTTGTCAGCTCGAACTTTGTCAGATCGATAAATCGCTTAAGACAAAATATGTGTAAGTCCCTGGAGAATCCACACAATCACGTATATCGAACGAGGACTTCGATGTTTGTACCTCTGTTAGTTATGATAACTCAATGTTATATCTTTGGAATGTGACAATACATATAATCCACAATGCGATCACAATAAAGGCGCAGACATTATCGAAACCTCAGCAACTACACGTACTTATAACAATGAATTGATAGCAAACGTTCCATACCATGTGCACCGAATTACAAAACATGTTTCAAACACAGTTTCTACCATTTAGAAGACTCAGAATAAGTTGACCCAACTTATTCTATACCCCCTTCCACAGAACCGTTCCTCCAACAATTCTCCGGCGTAATAAGTATTTACGGTCTTCTCGTGATCAGGGATTTGGTAAAAAGTATTGATACAACGCATTTCATTTCTAGCCAAAGGGCAGATTAAGTAAACATCACTTTTGGATTTGGCTTTAATGGAGATATATTGCAGTTGGAGCATTTTTATGGCGTTACTAATAACTGACATTTTGCACATTTCAGTCTGAATATACGACGATTGCATGCGCTGGTTGGACAGGATACGCTTACCTGTTCGCAAACACCTGGTATCATCACTATTTGAAAGTGATTAATGAACATACGCGCATGATACAGTCGGAATTGACTGCTTTTAGCAGATATTTCTTGTGATAATTGAAATGCTTTGTCGCCCTTTTTGATACTATTGAACTAAGCTAAAGTTGGTTTCTGGATGAAGAAACAATGTTATTCATGAAGTCACAGTTCCGCCCTGTCACTATAAGGGTGCATTGTTTTACATGTACATGTTTAAGTATAATTTCTTTAAGGTAAATACAGATACATTCCTACCTGTATTATAGGAGTAATGCAGAGTTTTGCCAACCGCCCTGTCTCCGTGGTTATTCTGCTGCAATTGACTGGTCACAGAACCCACACACTTACAGATCAATACCAGCGCTGTCGGCATGCTTACACTACCTCACTATACCGCGGGAGCCCTTCCTCGTTATAGCGTCTAGTACCAGTCAAAATGAGGCGTTATCTTCAGTTCATTCCTGATATCTCGCCTGTTTCTGTCAGTCTTCTTATTTCCAAATGTACACCATTTCTTCAAATACGGGCCAGTTTACGTTGCAAAAAAGGTTCTACTTTTAACTGGTACTCATATATTTTAGTAGTGAGTCAGTGTTTGTTTGTTTGTTGTTTAATGCTACACTCAGCAATATTTCTAGCTATATTTAGTTAATCGAGTATGGACAAAGACGACCCAGTGATTGATATCATGAACATCTATCCACGTAATTGGGATACGATGACATGCAATCAAGTAACCGAGCCTAACCTCCTAATAATCCATTTAGAGGTCTCTCCCGACAAGCGTAAGTTGTTCTTTATTCATACCAGGAATCCCAACGTGTGTAGTGTCACTTGTTTTACGCCGCAGTCGGCAGTGTCTCAACGACGGTAGCCTGTGAAGGGTCTTGCACTGATATGCCCAATAGCAGAGACGCCAGGGGGTCTGCCATTGTAACCACCTACTGCCCACTGGTCACTCCTATGACAACAGACCGCCTCCGTGGTCTTGTGGTAGAGCGTCCGCCCGGAGAGCGGAAGGTCCAGAGTTCGATCCCCGGCCGCGTCATACAAAAAGACGTTAAAAGATTGTACTTGTTGTTACCCTGTCTGGCGCTCGGCATTAAGGGGCTAAAACAAGGACTGGTCGGCTCGGAGTCAGTATACTGTGTCTGAGTGGGGTATTCATGTTAAACTGCGGCATGGTATCTCAGTGAGCTAGCACTATAAATCGGCATCAGTCCGGACTAGTACAAGCAGCCACACACACACATACACGTGCATGCACGTCGCTATATAAGTGCAATAATCTTGGATGCGACGTTAAACCCAATTTCACCTCACCTCACCTCCTATGACAACACGAGAAAATGGGGGCCTATTCCTATCCGGAGTCCATATGGGAGATTTTAAGTATGACTTTGGACACTGTCCATTTTTTTGGTTAAATCAACCAAAATATTTTTTTTGGGGGGGGAGATTTTAAGTATGACTTTGGACACTGTCTTTTTGGGGTGTTAAATCAGCCAAAATATATTTTTTTATTTCTCTCGAAAATCCGGAAACACTTCAGTCCGAACGATTTCGGGTTGGAATGATGACTCGTTTATCTGGACAGTTGTTTATCCGTTACTTTCATGAGGGATGAAACTGTCCGGTGTAATGGGTTCGCAGGGTGTTTTCTGTTTCGTACTGGGAAGAGCTCCGCCTTTAAATATGATGACTCTGATCGTCACCAGCATCAAGCCCTCGGTAGCCTATTTGAGCAGACTCAGTATGTCTTGAGTAGTTTGGGACGGTGGGATAGCCTTGTGATAAAACTTTTCGCTCCTCACGCCAAAGGCCCAGGTTCGATTCCCCACAAGGGGTACAATGTCTGGTATCCCTTGCCAAGGTTTTGATGGACCAGGACCTGAACTCGCTCACTCTAATCTCGTTCGAAGTATTATTCTAGAGGTGTCTGGTGGTTTGTGAGATACTATATAGTCAGTCATTGCAATACAGAAGTTGTATCCATAGAACTATATATCCCTTGTATATTTTTCGCATGTGCCGCATCAAACGCTGTGAAATAGTTTTATAAACCCGGAAAAGTTGGCTTTGAAACAATACGTCTTGTGACTGTTTTCTCAATCCAACATTTCCAAAGAACATTCGTTATTTTATAAGATTTTTACAAGAAACATCCACTTTCCGATCTCGGAACACAACCATGAATGAGCACTTAAAAGTTCTGAATCTTGTTAAAACTTTATCTAAAGAAAGATTTAATTACGTGAGCACGTTAACCTTAGCACGGAGATGCGTAAACATGATTAATTTCTGAAACAAAGCCCGAAAGTGGATAACACATGCAAAACAGCACAGGCAAAATATATTTGTGCTATTTTATAATAATGTTGTTTAAGGATTCAGGCGGCCTTTTCAGCCTCGATAAATATTTGCTGAAGGAAGCCTCTATATAAGAACATCATTATATCCATAAAGACATAGTTTTAGCATTGAAAACTGCTTAATATTATAAAATTGTACTATCCCAAAGTCTCACTTGCAGACTTGCTGACTATCCTTACCAAATAATCACAGCTTTTAAAAGTAATCCATGACAGACATGAAGAAAATTGAAGCTGAGAACCACGTAATGCAATCTGACGTCGATGCGGTTGCTGAGACAGTGGATATCATAAATGACAAACTTTCGCAAATTGATGTTGAACTTGATAAACTCGAGTTGTTTAGCCGAAGAGATAATATCATTATCTATGGTGTTGATGAAGATGAAGGCGAAAAATCTATAGCCTGTAAAGAAAAAGCGATCGCCGTACGTAATGTTTGAACTGTCTTTATTTGTTAAACATGGGATGGAACTACGAAAAAACATGTTGAGTGGAAATTCATAATTTTAATTACCTCACCCTAGAAAGTCCTCATGATTATCACCGATTGTTAAATGAATGTTATATTTATATAATTTTTGTTGTATCTCCCAATCTGTAAATTCTCACCCACTGTATTTATCTGAACTTGTATATTGGCCGATGGCCTTTGATACAATAAACGCCTTTGACAGTGGACTGATTTTAATTCATTACGAAATTTACAATACAGCGATTTGAAACAAAAGCATTTGCTGTAAATATTACCGAATGAGTGAGAAGGGTTTAGCCCCGCTGTGAAGAGTATTTCAGTTGTGTCACGAAGCACCAAATTAATGAGGAAGAGTAGGAGCAGGGAGACATACTCTTGTAATATGAACTACAAAACACAATCAGTCAACCAGAAGCTTTTACTGCCACAGATTCGGTGGTGATGGTGAGAGATGGAGCCTATATTTGTTCTCATACACCATGAGGGCTCTCTTGATTATGCTCATGAGGAGGGCAGTGGTGTAGACAAGTTTAAACGTCAGTTAATACATATTATCCATGATAATGGTGACTTGTGTAAGCTCATCCTATGTGGAGGTTTTAATGCAAGGACTGGTCAGAAATTTGATTATTTGATAGATGTTGAGATAGATAATCTACCTAATGATAAAGAACACACTTCAGATGAATTTTATCAACAACGATGTGTCAGTGATTTTCATATTAATAACCACGATAGAGCCTTAATTGATTTGTGTAAGTTACGTGGGGTTCACATCGTTAATGGTAGGACAAAATCAGATAGTCCAGGTAATCTTTTATTTCTCACACAGGAAGTAGTACTGTAGATTATTTTATTGTTTCATCGAGTGTATTTAAATCTATTACAGATACGTCAGTGGTTGAACGAGCCGACTCAGATCACTTGCCTATTGTCGGTCACTTCTAAGATCTTACTCCTTGTTCTTTTCAACAAAACAATGATGTCAATACTGCATCTGCCTCATTAACCCCTGTACCAAAATATAGACTTCCTCCTGATCTAGTTGTTTCCTACCAAATCAATCTCGGCATGACGTTAAGTGAGGAAATGTTTAATGTGCTTGCAGTCAATTTGAAGGATAACCTTCACGCAGCAGTTATCAAGCTCACTGACATTGTCGTTACGTAAAAAATCACCAGACAGTTCTATAACTCATGTATGGATTTCCTATTTTCAGCATTTATTGAATCCGATGTGCATCACGGCCTAAACAGAATTTGATCTATTAAAATCGGATTTCTCAGGTACTCATATATGTGATGAATGTAATGCTCTCATTCACGGAAGAATTGTAATCTCAGAACAAGAAGTGAGGGAAGCATTACAAAGTCTTTAAAATGGTAAAGCGTCAGGCGTTGATGGAGTCCCACCAGATTTTTACAAAATATCAGGAGATTTTCTAATACCATATATGTTGCCTTTATTAAAATACATCCTTCATATAGGTATTTTCCCCGATGCATGGAATATTGGAATGATAATGTCTTTATACAAATCAGGAAATGTCAGTCAATCAAACAATTACAGAGGTATATCTGTTTTGAATGTCATGGGGAAACTATTTGCATTTGCTGTTAAACAACGACTTAGAATTTGGCTTGAAGTAAATGATATATCTGAAGCCTAGCAGGGTTTCGCTCTTGGTACGCTACAGTTGACAATATCTTTGTTCTACAGTCACTTTGCTCCAAATATTTATGTAAACCTAGAGGTCGTTTTTATTGCGCCTTTGTTTATTTTCGCAAATCTTTTGATTACATTGATAGAAAAAAACTGCTGTACCTATTGATCACAAAAGGTTGTCGTGGAAAACTGTCACTAGTTCTTAAGAATATGTATTCCTCAGTCAAATCGTGTATTAAAACTGACTCGGGTACTCCTTGTTTTACTACTTCCAGTGGTGTTCGTCAAGGTTGCATCTTAAGACCAGTCTTATTCATCTTTTTATAAACGAACTTGTTTCTGAAATTTACAAAGAATGTCATCACGGTGTGTTTGTGACGCAAGATATTATAGATATTATGTTATTGCTGTTTGCGGATGATGTTGCTCTAGAGTGTTATGCTATGTGATAGGCTTGCAGAAACAACCTAATGTATTGAAGTCCTTTTGTATTAAGTGGGGTTTAGAAGTAAACCTTGAGAAAACCAATGTTATTGATTTTAGAAATGGTGGAATTGTATCGAAGCATGAAAATTTGATATACATGTATGATAATTAAACATTTAAAAATTGCAAGTTATTCTAAGTATTTAGGACTATTAATGTCCTCAAGATTAAATTGGTCCAAGGTTTGTAAGACCTTAGCGCTACAGGCATCTAAGGCAATGTTTCCTGTTTATAAATTATCCAAGGAAAACAAATATATCTCATTTTCCGCAGCAAATGCGTTATTTAATGGTAAAATTCTACCAATTTTGTT